TGCCTTATATGATTCACTATATGAAGTAGGCCACATCTTATGCAAGTCTGGGTACAGTTAACAAATATTCAACATATTCAAGTCGAAATAAGAAAAGATAAAGACCACACATGGCATCAACAAGTTAACATAAATGCATCATAAAAAGTAAATAAGTATTATAACAAAGAGGTACAGTTTATAAAAAAGCAAAGTAAAGGCTTCATTTAAACCCGGATTTTTAGTGGCCTGTAATTTATAAATCAAAAAGCTTCCCTTAACTCGAGACACCTTTGTCTATTGTCTGGTCAATGGTCAATTTCAACAGCTTGTAATGTAGAAGGGTTACTATGACAAAAGTTCAGTCCTTATCCACGAGGTCATTAATGTTACCTGTGCTCATGACATATTCATGTTCAGTGTGTTGAAGTCCGTTGAAACCGTACAGTACAGTATAACCACACCAGAGGAACCCTGACTTACGAATACCCCGTTTCACGAAAAATTCAAGTTACGAAGGCACTGAATGGCAATATTTTTGCCCGTCTTACGGCAAAATGCCCGAGTAACAAAATCCGCTGGCTCTCATTGGCTGAGCCTACAATGCCCACAACGCCTTCCAAATCATGTGACAACCCCTTGGCCTCCGTACTTGCGCTTCGCTGTTCCACTTGAACAACGTTTTGTTGTTCTAGTTAGCAGTTAGCCCATAGCCTATCGTTCAGCATCGCCTCAGTCAAAAGGCGCGATGGGAGCTTCGACTTACGAAGGTTTTCAACTTACGAAAGACCCTCAGGAACGAATTAATTTCGTAAGTCGGGGTTCCACTGTATAGGCGTTTTAATTGTATATGAAAAGAGATTGTTTTGGTGGTTTGTGGATATTTTAGCTGTTTCAAATTTTGACCTGTACTCGAAGTTTTCTTTGAGGTAAACCTTCACTGTAACGTAATGGTGCAGTTATATGTGTGAGATCATTATGACTTTTCTGTTAAGCATGTGTCCTGTCAGCAGCAAACCAGATATCAGGGCTACTTTCCCCCACATTTTAAATTTCTCGGGCCATTTCTTATAACAGTTACTGTGTTTTTGCTAGATGTGCAAAATGTGCTTGTGAGTGTCTGGTGTCTTCTTAACATCTCAGCCTCAACAAAATGCCAAGTCCACTCAAAGCTGAGGTGCAGACTGATGTTAAAGGGCAGGCTGCTCCCTCATCTGTCATCTTGACTCAGTGTCTATGCTGACAGAAAATAAAAACAAACTAAGAGTTCGACGTGGGTAAGACCAAATATATGGTTAGCCAGTGCTTTGAATTCCTCCTAAAATAAGTGTTAACATCTTAAACATGGGTTTCAAAAATCTTAGTTAAAGAAAAAGCTCTCCATTCAGTACACAGGACAAGTCAAGTATGGTTTTAAGACAATCAAGTTGTTGTTGCATCTGCCAGCCCACATTTTACACCGGCAATTTAGGCACTCTGGGCTTACTACAGTCTGCTCCTTAATGATAGCTATCCCAACTTAGAGACAAAACAAAATCCAGAGACTACAATAAAAATAATACAGAAATTTAAATATTAAAGTAACACTGAAAACAAATAAGAATAAAACGTATAACACGGAGATAAGTCACCAAGAAGCAAGAAGACTTCTGGTTTGAAACTCCTGGCTAGTTGGTGCCTCTGTGTGATGAGTCGGCATGTTCTACCTGTGCCTGTATGGGTTTCATGCATGTTAGATCAACTGATTTCAAACTGGCTGTAGATGTGAGGTAGATAAAGTGCTTAAAGTGTATAGTAAGTGTAGTCCAACTAGAAAACTGGCTTATATAAAAGCCAGTCCATTCCCAAAGCGTAAGAAGAATGTCAGGTTTAAAGAGCACAGCTTGATTTGAGTCACTTACTGCGCTGTCAAAGTGTAACTACAGTACCACACAATCGGTATATACAGTATTACTACACAAAAGTGTACTAAGCCTTCAAACTAAGACACCCTATCTGGGGTGGGGCACTAATGTGAATATCTGTATGCATGAGCACATATAAGACTCTTTTTTCAGTTAGATGGATTCAGGCCTGTATAACTCATTTTAGTTCATAAGTCTTCTTTGATTTAAACTCAGTCAGAGCAGTAAAAATCTCGAATAACAGGTTAAAGAATATTA